AGACCACCCCCTGCGCACCCCCTGTGGTGTCGAGAAAGTGCCACGCCTGCTAGGCTTTGCGCCAGTGTCGTGGATAGCGGCCGAACTGAGAGACCACCCCCTGCGCACCCCGTGTGGTGTCGAGAAAGTGCCACGCCTGCTAGGCTTTGCGCCAGTGTCGTGGATAGCGGCCGAGCTGAGAGACCACCCCCTGCGCACCCCCTGTGGTGTCGAGAAAGTGCCACGCCTGCTAGGCTTTGCGCCAGTGTCGTGGATAGGGACCGCGGTGAGAGACCACCCCCTGCGCACCCCCTGTGGTGTCGAGAAAGTGCCACGCCTGCTAGGCTTTGCGCCAGTGTCGTGGATAGCGGCCGAGCTGAGAGACCACCCCCTGCCCACCCCCTGTGGTGTCGAGAGAGTGCCACGCCTGCTAGGCTTTGCGCCAGTGTCGTGGATAGCGACCGAGCTGAGAGACCACCCCCTGCGCACCCCCTGTGGTGTCGAGAAAGTGCCACGCCTGCTAGGCTTTGCGCCAGTGTCGTGGATAGCGGCCGAGCTGAGAGACCACCCCCTGCCCACCCCCTTTGGTGTCGAGAGAGTGCCACGCCTGCTAGGCTTTGCGCCAGTGTCGTGGATAGCGGCCGAGCTGAGAGACCAACCCCTGCGCACCTCCTGTGGTGTCGAGAAAGTGCCACGAGCTGTGCTGTGCTGTGCTGAGCTGAGCCGTGCTGGGCTGTGCTGAGCTGTGCTGAGCTGAGCCGAGCTGTGCTGTGCTGAGCTGAGCTGAGCTGTGCTGTGCTGTGCTGAGGTGAGCTGAGCTGAGCAGTGCTGTGACGAGGGGGGAAGAGTGAAGTGTGTAGGTGTGTGAGTGAGGGGAGGAAGAAAGAGAGAGGAGGGGAGTTGTGAGGTGAGGTGAGACGCGGGTGCGGCGCGGCAGGGAAGAAAACCAGAACCCCACGAAGCATGTGGGGAAAAAACATTCAATGGTACCCTCTCCCAGGGTGCACAAGAAAATCCAACAAACACGCAGAACATTAGGGCATTAGGGTACCCTCCCCGAACCGACCTCGACCTTTTACCTCGGCCCGACTGTATGAGTGCTTCCTTGCCCACTCGCGCATGAACAGGGAGCGGCCGGGTGAGCTTACATTTGTAATCAACGCTTCGCTGTTGCAAATCGCCCATCTGCTTGCACGCTGACTCTGGCATCCCGCAATAGTGGCACGCACGTGCGCTGCTTGTGGCGGTGGAAGATCTCAAATGCTCATGAGCACGACGGTGCTGTTCTCCATTCATTTCGCTGGCGGTGCGCCTCTGATCCGCGGCGGAAGCGGTTAAGCTTCGCAACCACTTCGTGGGGCTGCTGCTCGGAAGTCTCAGGGCTGACCGGCGCGTGCGGCAGAGGCGACGGCACCCACGACAGCAGCTTATGCTTGGGGAGGGGTGCAGTGACCAATGCAGCTTACAGTGCCTTCGGCCCGACAAATCCCGAACGCACCCTCTACCCAACCCCCGGACACTCCCACATGGACAACCCACCCGAATGTTTCCCATGAGACAGCGAACTACTTCCGCAAGCCGTCCCCCCTCCGCATCCTCCTGATCGTCCTCCTCATCGTTCCGTCCAAGGCCGTGCGTTGTTTGATGTGGGGGTGCTGTACCTGACAAGGTCCACTTGGGGGCCCCGCTGTGGCTTAGATCGTGAAGGCCGACGTCAGCTGCTGCTCCACACGGTCAGTCTTTCCCCCCTGTGGCGGGACCTGTGGTCTGCTGCTCTGCTCCTTGTTGGGCAGGCGGCACGCCCTCCTCCTCCTCCTCCTCCTCCTCCTCCTCCTCCTCCTCCAACTCCTCCTCCAACTCCTCCTCCTCCTCCTCCTCCTTCTCCTCCTCCTCCTTTTCCTCCTGCCCCTCCAACCCCTCCTCCTATCTCTCTCTCTCTCTCTCTCTCTCTCGTTATCTCCTCCCCTCTCTCTCTCTCTCTCCTCCTCCTCCTCCTCCTCCTCCTCCTCCTGCTCCTCCTCATCCTCATCCTCCTCCTCCTCCTCGTCCTCCTCCTCGTCCTCCTTCTCCTCCTCCTCCTCCGCCTCCCCTTCCTCCTCTGCTTCTCTCTCTCTCTCTCTTTATCCTACTTCTCCTCGCTATCGTCGTCAACCTCATCGACTCCATTCCTTGTCCTTGTGAATAACTTCTCCTCGTCGCACCCCGAGGCCAGTCGGAAGGACGGGCTGGGCGTTTCGCCTAAGGCTTCCTCATCGCTGATGGTCCTGAAGCTTAAATTGTTGCAGCACGTTCGTGGATTGAGGGTGGGTGGTTCTCACACTGTGGCTCTCGCCTCAGCGCCACGCACATACGTCTTAAACATTTGCAGGGGCTTCGCGGATTGAGGACGTGTCGTTTCCAAAATGTGGCTCTCGTCTGAGCGCCGCGCAGGATCGTCGTACAACTGTAAGAGTTTCACGGATGGAGGGCGGGTGGTTTTCAAACTGTGGCTCTCGCCTTCGCACCGCGAACATTCGTCATACACAAGTGCAGCGGCTTCACAGATAGAGGGTAGTTCCTTTTCATACTATAACTCTCGCCAGAGCACCGCGCACATTCGTCAGAAGTGTGTACACGTCGTTCATTTCTAATCGTGCTCATTTCTAAGTGTGCTCGTTTCTACTTGTTCCTGGCCCCCCAGTGGCCAGGAAGAGGCCCAGGATGGAACACTTAGAAATGAAAGGATCTAGCCCCCCCCAAAAAAACAAAGAACTTCCGAATAATTGGAAATGAACAACGTGTACACCACAAGGAAGGATTCCCAACGCTAGCGCCTCAGAAACGTTGCTTTGGCACGATGTCAGGCAATCAGGGCGCAACAATTACGTTGATTCGTAGTGGAGCCCCAGAAATGGTGTTACGGCACGATTCGGGATCGCCATGACGCAACAGTAAAGGTGATTCGAGGCGTCGGAGTCCCAGGAACGGTGTTCTGGCACACCGGGATGTTCAAACGTTTGTTTACCAACGGGGCACGCCGCGCAAATCCAGAAATTGCGTTCTGGCACAATCCTGGACCGTCGACACGCAACAGTAATGGTAATTCGCGGCGCTGAACTTCCAGAACTCCTGCTCTGTCACAGTAAAACATAATCAAGCGGTTGTTTTCCAACGGGCACTTCCTTCAGTAAATATGAACCCTTGTACGGCCTGTGACAAGGGAGCTTGGAGAAGTGGTTTATAGCAACATCGTTGACCAGTCTTGGGTTTGCACTGATTCTCCTCCTCCTCCTCTTCCCCCCCCCTTCTCCTCTTCCTCCCACCCTTTGTCCCTCCCTCTGGCCAGGGGCCCGAGGCGGTCCAGCTGAGGCCGAAGCAACGACGGTGAGGCGATAGGAGATGGGAGGAGGGAGGACGACGATGAGGCGGAGGAGGAGGGGAAGCATGAGGGAGAGAAGGCGGAGGAGGAGGAGGAGTAGGAGGAGGAGGGGAAGGAGGGGGAGGAGGAGAAGGAGGAGGAGGAGGCGGAGGGAGGAGGAGGAGGAGGAGGAGGACGAGGAAGAGGAGGAGGAGGACGAGGAGGAGGAGAAGGCAGGAGGAAGAGGACGACGGCGGCGGCGGCGGCGGGGCGGCGGCGACAGCAGCGGCGGCGGCGGCGAGGGGACTCCTGCACGAGAGTCGCGGCGGAGCCGCCGTCCGCGCTGCCCCCGGACGCGTACACGGTGAGCTCGAAGCGGTCCCCCGTCAGCTGGCTGAGGCGCAGGACCTTTGATTAACACCCTAAGCCTTTTGGAAGGGACCTAAGTTAGGAGGGTCAAAAAATTGGGGATAGGAATCTTTCCTGCATATGTACCAAACCCACCCGCCCAGAATTATTCTCCCTAGTGTGAAGACGGAGACCTCAGTGAGGCCACGTCTTCATCGTGTTATTGGTGTTAGGGTTTCTTTCGCTCTCGATGAACCTTGTCTCAGCGATGTAAAGTGTTCAATCCCGGCGGTTTTTCCTGCACTTCGGCTTTTCAAGATCTGGTGGCCGCTTTCGGGACCTGGGGCCATCATAAAAGTGGATATCCGGGACGAGAGCTCCCCTCGTGGACAGGGTCCGGGGCTCTGGAGCCGCGAGTTGACAAAAAGCACATCGTCGAATGTCTGGGTCGAGGTCATCGTCGTTTTCGTTGTCCTCGTTTCCGTCGTCGTTGTTGGCCTCATCCTTATCCTCCCCCTCCTCCTCCTCCTCCTCCTCCTCCTCCTCCTCCTCATCGTTCTCCTCCTCCTCCTCCTCATCGTTCTCCTCCTCCTCCTCCTCCTCCTCCTCCTCCTCCTCCTCCTCCTCCTCCTCCTCCTCCCGCGCGAGCGCCCCTCGGACAGTCCCAATCCCTGCACACCAGGACTACTGGTGCTCACGAGCTACCCACGGGCCAGCCTTTGAGGCCTGGTGGGAGCTGCTCCTTGGTGAGCTTCAAGATGGCCTCATGTCCCCCACTCTGGCGATTGTGGGGGGTGGGGTACATGGCTCTTTGAATTTCCGAGAGACCCGGACCCGCCAACATCCGCACCGCCGACACCAAAGAACCCCGCGGCACAGGGCGAGGTGATGCCGGTGGCTAGGGTGGATGGCAGGCCCTTCCTCCTCGAAATCCAAAATCCCTCCACTCTCGGCGAAGCTATGGATCAGCTCGGGCCCGACGGCCGCGATCCGAGCCACCTGGCGCAGGACCTCCTGTGGGCCTGCTTCCCGCATCTGTGACACATCACTTGATCATCACACACTTGGGGCAGGTGAGGGGCCGCCGAGGGGAGGTGTTGAAATGCCCTATCGCTGCGTTCGCGCCACCGAGCCCGTTTGGTCTCGGCGGCCTCATCTGTCACTGGGAAACGTGTCCACCAGAGCATCTGGACCGCTGCCGATCGCCCTCGGATGTGAGCAGCGAGGGTGTCGAGGGCCAACGCTCTCTGGGCTAGATCCTCGGGCGCTGCAGCATGGGCGGCGCTTTCGCTGGCGAGCCGATCCGCCTGGCCGTTGACAAAAAGGGCCCAGGCTGGAAAACGGGCGCGGACCTCGGGGCCGGTGACATGACTCTTCACCTTGAGGTACCTTGTTTGGCCCTCACGAGACCCCAAGTCGCGCCGATGCTCAAACCAGAGCCTCCTGTTGGTGGGCATTATCCTACGGGGTCCCTTGTGGTGGCCTCTGATTAGGTAGGCCGAATCAGCAACCACCAAGAGATCCCCTCGTGTGTGGCGGAGGAGCTCAATGGCCCCTTTAAGCTCCGCTCGGTCGATAGTCTGAGCCCCGACGACATTCCCTTGTAGAGTGCCGAGGGGAGTTAAATCTTCTTCCCATACCCCGCACCCCATCCTACTCGCCTGAGGCGGGGATCGGCCGAGAAGGCACCCCCTGATCCGTCCACGGAGCCAGGGCGCCAACCGCCCATCGGCTCGGGGGGGGTCCAGGAAAGCGCCCGTCCCCTGCAAGTTGGGGTGCTTGGGAGTGGTGTCCTCTGCTGCTTTCAGGGCGAGCTCAGCTGGTATCCTTCCTCTGATCCAAAGGCGGGCAGGCTGGTCATCTCCCTGGGCGAGGTCCCTGAGGTCTTCGGTGGCCTGGATGAAGGGCCTCCTCCTCCTCCTCCTCCTCCTCTTCCTCCTCCCTCCCCCCTCCTCCTCCTCCTCCTCCTCCTCCTCCTCCTCCTCCTCCTCCTCCTCCTCCTCCTCCTCCTCCTCCTCCTCCTCTTCCCTCGTCCTGCTGCTCCTCCTCCTCCTCCTCCTCCTCCTTCTCATCCTCCTCTTCCTCATCCTCCTCATCCTCCTCCCTCCTCCCTCCTCCCGCCTCCCTCCTCCTCCCTCCCTCCTCCCTCCTCCTCCTGCCTCCTCCCTCCTCCTCCTCCCTCCTTCATCCTCCCTAATCCCTCTTTCCTCCTCCCTCCACCCTCCTCCCTCCTCCCTCCTCCCTCGTCTGTGGCCCAGCTCCACGGTTTCTCGCCCCCCTCGGAGGCTGCAGACTCTGGTCTGGCCCTGCAAGTTTCGGTGGACGAAGTTCTTGAAGAGCCCAGCGAGGGTTAGGCATGCTTTGCTGTGCGGAGAGGGGGACCTGGCCCATCAAGTTATACAGTCGGGCTAAGGCCAGAAACACATCCCTCAATTACGCTACCGAGGAACCCCACATACTTCATATAAATCCTATGCGCTTGCTTACTAAGTTTATAATATATGCGCAATTCTGCGTTCTCAGCCCTCGTCGCGAATGTTCCCCTCTGTGTCATCCAACGCCGTATTGCTTGAACCTCCTCCCTCTTCCTAGCCTTCTATCCCCCATCAAGGACAGATTCGAGCCAGCCAGCGGCCGCGCTCAGGGACCACCCCCTGCGCACCCCCTGTGGTGTCGAGAAAGTGCCACGCCTGCTATGCCTGGACGACTGGCACGGATAGCGGCCGCGCTCAGGGACCACCCCCTGCGCACCCCCTATGGTGTCTAGAAAGTGCCACGCCTGCTATGCCTGGACGACTGGCACGGATAGCGGCCGCGCTCAGGGACCACCCCCTGCGCACCCCCTATGGTGTCTAGAAAGTGCCACGCCTGCTATGCCTGGACGACTGGCACGGATAGCGGCCGCGCTCAGGGACCACCCCCTGCGCACCCCCTATGGTGTCGAGAAAGTGCCACGCCTGCTATGCCTGGACGACTGGCACGGATAGCGGCCGCGCTCAGGGACCACCCCCTGCGCACCTCCCCCTATGGTGTCGAGAAAGTGCCACGCCTGCTATGCCTGGACGACTGGCACGGATAGGGGCCGCGCTCAGGGACCACCCCTTGCGCACCCCCTGTGGTGTCGAGAAAGTGCCGCGCCTGCTGTGACTGGACGACTGGCACGGATAGCGGCCGCGCTCAGGGACCACCCCCTGCGCACCCCCTATGGTGTCGAGAAAGTGCCATGCCTGCCTGGACGACTGGCACGGATAGCGGCCGCGCTCAGGGACCACCCCCTGCGCACCCCCTATGGTGTCGAGAAAGTGCCACGCCTGCTATGCCTGGAACGACTGGCAACGGATAGCGGCCGCGCGCACGGATCCACCCACTGCGCACTCCCTATGGTGCCGAGAAAAGGCAACGCATGCTATGCCTGGGACGACTGGCGCGGCACGGGATACGGGCCGCGACTCAGGGACCACCCCCTGCGCACCCCCGTCGGTGCTGTTCGAGAAAGTGCCAGCCAGCATTGCCTGGCGGCTGTGGTCCATCGCGGCCGCGCTCAGGGACCACCCCCTGCGCACCCCCTATGGTGTCGAGCCAGTGCCACGCCTGCTATGCCTGGACGACTGGTACGGATAGCGGCCGCGCCCAGGGACCACCCCCTGCGCACCCCCTATGGTGTCGAGAAAGTGCCACGCCTGCTATGCCTGGACGACTGGCACGGATAGCGGCCGCGCTCAGGGACCACCCCCTGCGCACCCCCTATGGTGTCGAGAAAAAGGCCACACCTGCTATGCTTGGACGACTGGCACGGATAGCGGCCGCGCTCAGGGACCACCCCCTGCGCACCCCCTATGGTGTCTAGAAAGTGCCACGCCTGCTATGCCTGGACGACTGGCGCAGATAGCGGCGCGCTCAGGGACCACCCCCTGCGCACCCCCTATGGTGTCGAGAAAGTGCCACGCCTGCTATGTCTGGGCGACTGGCACGGATAGCGGCCGCGCTCAGGGACCACCCCCTGCGCACCCCCTATGGTGTCGAGAAAGTGCCACGCCTGCCAGGCCTGGACGACTGGCACGGATAGGGGCCGCGCTCAGGGACCACCCCCTGCGCACCCCCGATGGTGTCGAGAAAGTGCCACGCCTGCTATGCCTGGACGACTGGCACGGATAGCGGCCGCGCTCAGGGACCACCCCCTGCGCACCCCCTATGGTGTCGAGAAAATGCCACGCCTGCTATGCCTGGACGACTGGCACGGATAGCGGCCGCGCTCAGGGACCACCCCCTGCGCACCCCCTATGGAGTCGAGCAAAGGCCACGGGCCCACGCCTGCTATCCTGAAATCTGGCATTCGCAAACAGTTTCACCCGCGGCTCATGGACACCCCCTGCGCTCCCCCTATGGTGTCGAGAAAGTGCCACACCTGCTAGCATGGACTACTGGCACGATAGCGGCCGCCTCATGGACCACCCCCTTCGCACCGGGCCTATTGTTTCAGATAGTGCCGACTCCTGCTATTCCTGTAAACGAACTGGCACGGATACGGCGCGCTCAGGACCACGCCCCTGGCGCACTACCCCTATGGTGTCGAGAAAAAGCCACGCCTGCTATGCCTTGACGACCTGGCACGGAAATAGCGGCCGCGCTCAGGGACCACCCCTGCGCACCCCCTATGGATCGTAGCAAAGGCCACCGCCTGCTATGTGCCTGGACGACTGCGCACGGTAGCGGCCGCCCCCTCTCGTGTCGATGAACTACAACGCCTGCCTCGCTTTGCGAGCGTGCGACGGAGCTGAGCTGAGCTGTGCTGAGCAGCGCTGTGTTGTGCTGCGCTGCGCTGTGTTGTGAAGTGTGCTACGCGTGTCTCATGTACGTGCCGTGCAGGTGTTGCGCGTGGGTGAGGGAGTGTATGTGTGTGTGTGAGTGTGTGTGTGTGTGTGAGTGTGAGTGTGAGTGTGAGTGTGAGTGTGAGTGTGAGTGTGAGTGTGAGTGTGAGTGTGAGTGTGAGTGTGAGTGTGTGTGTGTGTGTGTTTGTGTCTGTATCTGTGTGTATGTGTCTGTGTCGGTGTGCCGTATTCTGCACGCGTGTCTCATGTGGGTGCCCATGATGCGTGTGCGGCTGTATGTGAGCGTGCGTATCATGTGTATGTGGGCATGTGGGCGCGAGACGAGGCGGGAAAAGAATGAGGAGGAGAAACGCGGGTGAGACGCGGCAGAGAAGAAAACCAGAACCCCACGAAACATGTGGGGAATAGTCAAAAGATGCTACAAACATAGTCTGGGGACTGTTTTTTTGAATGTTTGTTGACCTTTTTGGGGTGTTTGGGTTTTTTTTTTGTATTTTTCGTCGAAAATCCCCCCCTGTAGGGGGGGCACGCCCGACGTGAGGCTTGGCCGCAGGGGCACGACGGCGGGGGCCGTCGGGCCGGCCGTGGCCCAGGCGTCGCGGGGAGGTCGAAGCGGCCGAGCCTTCGCCGCTCGGGGCCTTCGCTGCCCCCCTTCGAGAGCATCGATGCCTTCGTTACCAGCCTCGAACTTATCCCGATCCCTAAGATTGGCACGCTAACCAGCGATGACAATCTCAGGGTTGCGCCCTCGACAAAATAAGAAAGGCATCCCTGAGATCGGCATCGTGATGAGGAGGTGCCCAGCATGGGGATAGGGATATGTTCCAGGCTGGTAACAATGGCCCAGGGAAGGGGTCGAGAGGCTCGGGGCCCACGTCACGAAAGAGTCGATTTGTTCACAGAACGCAGCATCAGAGTCAGGATCTGCGAAGGGATCGGCGGTCTAGTCATGAACTTGTGGGCACATGGGTGCCGTATTCTCTGCAGTAAACTCTTTGCAGAAGTACTTTCTCTTGACGCAGAGCTGTTTGCTCCCATCAACGAGACGCCAGAGAGCGTCTGCCGTTGGGATGCGGGAAGGGTGTTGCGGACGAGAACGCACACTATGGACTCGAGTGATAAGTTGTTTCCAATACAGCTCAGCATTTCTGGAATTATCCAAAGCATGGTGTGTTTCGTTGAAGAAATCGTTATACAAAGTCGGCAAGATTCTCTTGGAAGCTAAACCACTAAACAAAAACGTCTTATCGTTGACGCCTCCAAGCCACTGTAAACATGCTTTTGTGTACACCACCGGGTCATCTTGCAACGCTTCACCTACAAAAGAATCGAGGTCCAACTTGTGTAGCCAAAGGTCCGAGTCCCGTGTCACGAGAACGAAATCGTAATCGCTGGTGGCCGTAGCGACACTCATTAAGTTCTGCAATCCTTTGAAACGCTTCAGCACAGCCTGGCCTATCACAGAATCCTTTAGCACAAATTCTTGATGGTTTTGCGACAGAACGGAATCATTGTTGCTGAACGGACTGTACTGGCTCATCCGCCCGAGCCCCGCGAGACCCTGCGCTGACGCAAGGTCGCCTGTAAGGTCGTAGTCTGCCTGTAAGATATTGCCATGGACAAAACGGGCACCTCGCATTTCCAAATTTTGCCGGAATAAAGTGAGAAATTCGTCGGCCATCCTTGACGATACTGCTGAGACTCTTTCCGCTACCGTATCCCCTTTAACAGGAATCCATGTAAACCCAGGCTCGATGCTGAGAGCAACGAGTTCCAGAAACACATCAACCTTCCAGCCTTGAGCCAACAGCGGCTCTACTACATGTTTAAGCTTGCTTTCGACAAGCATATGCTTCTGCATGCCAACAAGCAATATCGCGACACTTTTGTTAGTTCGCCCGAGCCGTGAATGCTGAGCTGAAACATTGGGGAATGACTCGCGCATGGCGGATATCTCTGCAGACGCCGTCGCCCATTCCTCGGGTTCGCCATTGGGCATCAACCTCAAGCTAGACGTCACGGTCGACAAACAAACGATTACTAAATTGATGTAGTTTGTCAACATGCCCGCAAGATGATACGATAGACGTGGACAGGTGAGAAGAAAGTGATCCACGAGAAAGAAAGTGATCCACGAGACCTGAGCCGCGATGGCTACGGATCGGATGCATTCGTTGCCCGTGGCCCGACACTGATGTCCCGGGCTGCCCGAGGTATGTCTTTACTAGGGTCGAACCCGCTGCAGGACCTCTCCGAAGCGCCCCGGGGGGACCCGAAAATGGCGCGGAGCCTGCAGCGTGCCGCTGGGCCTTCTCCTGCCCCCCCTCCCCGTCCTCCTCCTCCCCGTCCTCCTCCCTCCCCGTCCTCCTCCTCCCAGTCCTCCTCCCTCCTCCTCCCCGCCCCTCCTCCCCGTCCTCCTCCTTCTCCTGCCCCCCCCTCCCCGTCCTCCTCCCTGTCCTCCCATGCTTTCGGCAAGCAGCGTGCGGGCCGGTGCTGCGCGTGTGCGCGGCACGACCTGCTGGGTCGGTGCCGGCCCGTCGGGCCCCGATCCGCCCCGAGTGCCCTGTGCACACGGGGCCGCGCTATAGACTGCTCCTCTGCTGTCTGGCAGGGCTTCTTTCGCTCCGAGCCATCCTGTGGTGCTGGGTCCTCGTTTTGAAAAGAGAGCGCCCCGCGTCACCTCACCTCCCTCCCGCTGCCCCTTCCTCCCACCCCCGCCTCTGCCATCCGCGTGTGCACGTCGGCACATCCCTCACACGCTTCGCATCCCCATGGGGAGCTCCGACTAGCCTAGTTGGAGCTCCCCATGTTATGGCCCTAGTAGGGCCCATGGCCCTAGTAGGGCCCAGGGGTGGACCACGTGCGGTCCCTCAGCCGTTTCGGCACACCCCTCAGGCGCTTCGTGGCCCCATGGGGCCATAGGGAGCTCCAGCTAAGGCCCCGGTAGGGGGACCACATGCGGTTCCCCAGGAATTCTGGCACACCCCTCACACGTCTCGTGGCTCTGTGGGGAGCTCCTGCTGTTGGGGGGCGCGCAAACATAGATTAGCGACCCCCCCCAGAATGCGGCCGGTGCCGCCTCGCTCGGCGGCGGCAACCCTCGATTCCCCATGGAAGCGGGACCCGTCGCTGATCCACGCCCCCTTGATCCATGCTTGCGATCGCCTGGCTGAGGCCCCAGGATGGGGGCTGACTACCTACCAGACCACCCCAACCCAACCCGAAGACCCCAATTTCGGGTTGGGGGGGGTACGGGTTCCACATGTGTTTTTTCAACGTTCCCCGACCCCCCCCCACAAGGCAAATTGAGGCCTTCGGGTTGGGTTGGGGTGGTTTGGTAGGTGGTGAGGGGCCACAGGCGGTCCCCCAGCAATGCTGGCACACCCCTCGCACGTTTCGCATGCTTCTGCGGGGAGCTCCCGCTAAGGCCCCAGGGGGGGGTGCCGCGTGCGCTCCCCCAGCCCGTGTCGGCACACCCCTCACGCGCTTCTTGGCGCGAGAAGAAGCGCTCTGTTTGGGCTTTGTTTGGATATTGTTGGTGCTGTGCTTGATGTGTGTGTGTTGAGCTTTGTGCGAGCTATGCTTGAGCTATGTGTGAGCTTTGTTGGAGCTCTGAGCACAACTCTCGTGGCCCCCAGGCCCAGTTCGGCACACTCCTCACCAGGTTCGCTGCCCCACGGGGAGCTCCACCGAACGCCCCAGTGGCAACGCCCACATTTGTCCCCAGGCCAACTCCAGCACGGCCCTTACACGCTTCGTGGCCACATAAGGAACTCCACCGAAGCCTCCCGTGGCAGATTTCGGCACACCCCTCACACTCGCTTCGTGGCCACGCAGGGAGCTCCACTCCAAGCGACAGTCACAAGCGCGGTACTCAAACTGCGTATGGTTTGCTTTGCTCGTTCGCTAGGGTAAGGTTTTCCAATGCCGACCCCATCCCACGGCCGCACCCGCCCTTCGAAAATCGTTCCCCTCTAGAGCCAAATGTTGGGTAATTTCCCATATCAAATTACGAAACGCCTTTTTCCCAGAGATGAGCTGGCCGACGGGGGGTCGAAACAGCAGAAAACAGTCCGAGCACCACAACAAACGCATCAAGACGGCACGAACAAGCAAACACGCGCCAAGGCAACAAAGCTCGCCCCTAGACTGCCAACAGGCCTCCAAGGCGATCCCAAGACTGCCCAAGAAGGCCCCCAGACAGGACAGGACAGGACAGGACAGCCCGCGCATTGGCACCAAACTAGGGTGCTGCGGGTGTGGCGCCGGAGCGCCGGCCATTACGGCAAAGGAAAAAACAGCGGAGGAGGAGGAGGAGGACGACGACGAAGAAAACGAGGCCCGGTCAGAAATTCACATGTGGTGTTGCGTAAACTGTGCTCCAATATCCTGCCAAGAATCATTTGATGCAAGATCAAGAATTGCTGGAATACTCACGTCGCCACATTCCAACGTATCTTCGACATGATTTCTGACGTCATCGATCCATCTGGTTTTTGGTCTTCCCGTCCTGCGTCTGGCACTATATACTGGGTCATGTTGTGGAGTCCATTGAATGACTTGTCGCATCCATTCCAGTTCCTCCGTTGCACTCAACTTCCGTACCCACTGCCATTTCCTCTGCCGTACTGTCGAGACCCAATCGTCGATTCTTAATTTTGCAATTGCTGCTTCAGCCTTGTGTGTGGCCCGCTTGATCCAATCGACCCATGGCTCCAAAACGACATCGTTCGCTTCATCGTCATCATCATGAATATTCGGCGTGGGATCCGGCGGGTTACTGTCGACGTCACATCAGTGGTCGTCCTCTTCGTCGGAGTTCTGGTAGGCGGTGTCGTGCTGGTCGTTGGTCAGATGCTCGAGTGCTTGCTGTGATGCTTGGGAGGAGGAGTTTGCGGAGGTGCGCCGTGGTACTCGTACAATCATGCGAAGCATTTGTCGCTGCGTTCGCCGGAGTCGGTTCGCTAAGTCGGCCGTGAGCGTCCAAGCTTCGCTGCCGTACAAAATAGTCGGTGTGATGGTTCCGTGAAAGAGGCGAAGTCGGTCTGACTGTGAGTACGTTGGTCCAGTAAGTTCTTGCTTCAACATATGAAACTTCCGCCATGCTGTGGAAATGCGGTTTTCGATTTCCGCCGCGTGAGGCGTAGTGTGCTGTAGTAGCCGTCCGAGGTATTTCGTGCCGCGGTATGGTGGCAATACATCAATCTTCATGCCGAGCACATGTACGCTGTCGGGTGTACGTGTGCTGCGTCGTGACTTGTGCCCGTTGTGCATGATCTTCGTTTTATCAGGATGAAGTTCTAGGCCCGTTTTGCCTGCTTCAGTGATGAGGTCGGTTAGCATATGTGTCAGGTGGTTCAGTGACCCCGTAAGTAGGAGGATGTCATCCGCGAAGCGAAGGTTGGTGAGTCGGTCATTCGTGTGTAGTTGGAGCTTGAAGCCGTAATCCTTTGATGCCCATTTTTGTTTGGCTCGTCTCATGATGCTCTCGGACACGCTGTTGAAGAGCAGTGAACTTAGGGGGTCGCCTTGCTTTGTTCCCCGCAGGACGTTGAATTTCCTGCTTGTGCGGTCTGTCTGGACTGATCCCGTCTGGTCCTGGTAGAGCTTTGAAAGCAAGTGGATGTACGGTGCGGGTGTATGCTGCTCTGCAAGCGACTCCCATATGCTGGCGTGCGTGATGCTGTCGAATGCCTTCTTGAAGTCTACTGCGGCCGACCACATGGGGAGTTGCCATTCGTCCGTGATTTCTTGCAGTATGGACGTCGTGAACAAATGGTCGGTGGTGCTACGGTGGGGTCGGAAGCCAGCTTGGTCGGCGCTTTGGCTGCTCTCTAAGAGCGGATGCAGCCGGTTGTACAGAAGCCGCGAAAAGAGTTTGTACAGCATGGGTATGCTAGCAATTGGTCTGTAATTACTGGGTTGCTGTGGGTCTCCGCCTTTGTGAAGCACTTTGATTACTGTATGCCGCCAACTTGCCGGCGTCGGCGAGCCAGGTAGGAGGATATTGTTGTACATGTCGAGAAGGACAGACTGCAATGCATCCCCTCCAGATTTCAACATCTCGGCTGTTATTCCGGAGGCGTCAGCAGCTCTGTTAGACCGCAGCTGGCGCAACGCTGTTTCCAGTTCGTTCCGTGTGAATGGTGGGATGTCGTCCCGTTGCGCGTCGTGCTCGGGGCGTTCGCCGTTGGCGTTGTCTCTGCGGCCGGTGTCGTTGTACAAGTCTTCGTAAAATGCTGCGAATACGTCGGCTATGGTCTGTCGGACGTGCTGCGTCTCCCCGGCGTTGTCCGCTATGCTCGTGATGAATGCTCGTTTTTTGGTGGATTTTACTCCGCTGATGCGCTTCAAGTCCTTGTATTCCGATATGATGCGTTCGATTGTAGCCCTGCGGACTGCCCGTTTGATAGCACGGATTTCTCTGCGGATGTGTTTGTTGAGCCTGCTCCGTGTAGTTGTCTCGTGGGTCGGTGTGTCTCGTCTCTGTTGGAGCAATTGCGTGAGTGCGTCACTTGTTGGGCGGTTACTGCGGTGACGGCTAATACTCGGAGGTTGTAGCTGCAACAACACATCTTTGATTGACTGTTCGATTTGTTCGCATTGTATTTGGAGCCGTGTCTCCGCCAGCAGTACGTCGAGTTGTTCACATAGTGCTTGTTGATACTGCTTCGTGTCGGATGGGGGCCATGTTGGTCGTGGATGGCGTTGCTGTCGTGTGCTGTTCGTCGTCCGCTGTTTGTGGGTGGTTCTCACCACGCATGACAAACGCAAGGCGCGATGATCAGATCCCATGTCAACATCGGCGGTCGACTCACAATCTTGGACCATTCGCCACATCTTTTTGTTAACTATGAAATAATCGATTTGACTGTCAACTTTCTGAGGCGATGTATACGTGATCAACTTATCCACCTGCTTGTGAAAGAAAGTGTTGGCAAGCCGGAGTCGTTGGTTGGAGGCCCATTGCTTCAACCACTGGCCTCGAACGTTCATTGGGCCTATCCCATGCCGGCCCAAAGTGCACCTTGCATCGTCCGGCGCGCAATGCCCAGCACGTGCATTGCAATCGGCTCCGACGATGGTCATCATGCGTGCTGAATGTGCTTCTTGGCAAATCTGGGATAGCGTATCGTACATGGTTTGAACGTGTTTGTCGCCATAACCGCTGTGAGGAAAGTACGCACTGACGATTCGCAGTCTGAGTGAACCTCTCTTGATATCCACATACGCTATCCTTTCATTAATGGGATTGAAAGAAACAACATGCCTCACCCATCTTTGGTGCAACATGATGCCGACTCCACGCTGATAGTCTTTGAACCCTGATCCCAGATATGCGTGACCACCATCTGTTGTCCAGAATTCCTTATCATCGGTTCTCCATGTTTCGTTCAATGTAATAGCATCCCATTGTAAGTCGTTGAGCTCCGTGCACAATTCTATGACCCTGTCTCCAGAAACCAATCCACGAATATTTTTGTGATAGATGGTTAACCTGCATGTTTCAGTCATCGTATCTGCAGTCGAAGGTGGAGGTTGAAAGTTGGATGCTGGAAGCTGGAAGTCAGGGTGCTCCGCTGGTGGAGTCTGGAGGTCCATGGGTGGAGGTGGAGGTGAAAAGTCCGATGTTGGATGTGAGTCTGTGGGCGGAGGTCGACAGCTGGAGGTGGATGATGGTGGGCGCTGGGATCCGGAGCTTGGTGGTTGAAGGTGGACTGGTTGAGGTTGTACGTCGATGGGTCGAGGTCGAAGGCTGGGAGCGGGCGGGGGTAGATGTTGGGAGTCGGAGCTTGGTGGCTGGAGGTCAATTGGTTGAATTTGTGAGTCGGAGGGCGGAGGTCGAAAGCTGGAGATGGGTGGTGGTGGATTCTGAGTGTCGGAACTGGGTGTTTGGAGGTCGACTGGAGAGCGTATTGAGACGTACTGGGTGTCAGGCCCGGCTTGGCTGGAGTCGGATTTCGCGCACCGCTGCTGGAGGATGCAGGGCGGGACGTCGCCGGACACGTCGTTGTAAGCTTTTCGTCCTCCTCCTCTTCCTCTGCACGTTGGATGCTGGCGGTCGGAATGCTGCACTTGTGGAGGCTGGAGGTCGATAAATCGAGGCACAGGTAGGAGGTCGGATGTCAGATGCTGGAGGTCAGAATGTTGAGTTGGAGGAGGCTTGGGGTCGACGATTTGAGGTGGACGTGAAGAGTTTGCTGCTGGAAGCTGGAAGTCGGAATGTTGAGTCGATGCTGGCTGGAGGTCGATAGTCGGAGGTAGGGGTGGGAAGTCGGAGTCGATAGGTGGTGGTGGCGGTGGAAAGTCGGAGGTTGAAGGCTGGAGGTTAGAATGCTGAACTGGTGGAGGTTGGAGGTCGATAGGTGGAGGTGGAGCTGTGAGTGGAAAGTCGGATGTTGAAGGCTGGATGTCGGAGTGGTGCGCTGGTGAGGTCTGTAGGTCAATAGGTGGAGGTGGAGGTGGAAAGTCGGTTGCTTGAGGCTGGATGTTGGCATGCTGTGCTGGTGGAGGTTGGAGGTCGATCGGTGGAAGTGGGGTTGGAAGGTCAGGTGTTGGAGGCTGGAATGGTGGAGGCTGGAGGTCCTCCGGGAGAGCTTCACACCATAACTCCGGAGTCGGAAGAGCGACGCCGTGCGCCTCGAGTGTGTCCGAAGCCTGCGGCGATGTATGTGTGTCAGCTCGTGCTGGAATACGCTGTGTGCTGCACCGGTGCTGTAAAATGCATGCCGGAACGTCGCCAGACATGACACTGTAGGCACGTCGTCCTCCTCCCCCTCCTCGGTCGAGTTGGACATGAAGCCGGGGAACATGATGACCTTCACTATCCGCATCTGGGCGGCAGTCCGAATCCACGATATGAAAGCCGGGGGCGGTGAGGCGGAAGCAGGGGTCGGAATGCTGAGCTTGATGAGAAACGTATGGTGAAACGTACTTCGGAATCGTAGAGGGTAGAGGTTGGAGGTCGGAAGCTGGAGTAGTAGAGGTCGGAGCCTGGGACTCCAGAGCCGCATTGGTTAGAGCCGGGGACATCTGCAACGGAGGTGGGAGGTTGGAGAAGGGAGCTGTCGTTGGTGAAACATGTTCAGCTCGGAAAAGACATCGGTCTTGCTGATGCCGCCCTGGTTGAGGTACCTGCAGTCCGCTGCCTGATTCAACATCCTCTGGCACGGGAGTCGGGAGTGGCCGGGGTAGGTACGGAGGGTGCGGGAGGTGAGAGCTGGAGTCGGAGACCAGTACATGCTCATGAGGCTGGAGTCGGAGATCCTGTGACGCTGGAGTCGGAGATGCCGCAGTCGGTGGGCAGTTGTCCTGCTTGTCGATGCCAAAGTCGACCATTGTCCTTGGATGGCCGATCTCCTGAGACACGGATGGGGCGCACCTGACTGATAGAGGGACATCCCCGGGAACATTTCCATACTTCCCCCTGCCACCCCCAGCCGCACGTGTTGTCCGGAATGGTGTTGAGAGCCGTTCGGCTGGGACGTCCTGTAAATCATCATCTAATGCAGACCCTGAAAATCCAACACGAAAGGGAACGGTTACGAGATCTAAATTTGGTCCCTGGGATTTGTGATTTGCTGTCCGTGGTTGTGCAGGCGTCGTCGAAGCAGACGGGTCGGAATGATGTCGAACTTCACCGACAGTCCTGAAAAGCTTGCAAGATCCTGTTGGGAAGTCACTCTCTTCGCAAGTTGAAGCCCCCCGTTCTCCCCCAGGAGGTGTCGAGAGGGGAGTGCTGGGAAATCCTTCCAAAACTGACCTTCCAGATGCCCAAATATTACTTGTTATGGTACTTCCAAAAGTGTCGTCGTAACGTCACTCGCTTTCTGCGGCCGGTTCTGGTCTCACTTTGAGGCGCCATTTGGACATAGCTTCCTGCACCTCTTTCTGCACAGCCTTCCCTTTCGCCGTGACATGCCATTCCCCCTCCCCGTCATACCATGCTACCTTCCTCTCCTTCCCAGTGCTGTCCTTCACCACAACCATACCCATATTCCATTTGATACGTACCTCCAATGTTGAGTAGTCTGGGTGTTTGCATAAGTAATGTTTTGTGTAACCTAGGCGTTTTTCACGTTCACGTTCGTCCATTGTTAGGTTGTTGCGGAAGAAGATCTTGCCGAATGCATGCTCGTCTGTACTTAATGCACCGCGTACCTTTTTCCAGAATTCTACCTTAGCCGTAGTAGTAGGGAACTCCATCATGCCCATCCTGGTAGGGTTTGTGTTCGTCGTCACCTTCGCATGGGTCCCGTTGCCGAGTAATTTGTGGAGAACCTGTTCCAGATGCTGTATCGCCACCTTCGCAGCGGTCTCCTCTTCAAACCCGAATGCAAGTATCTGCCTGGCGCGGCTCCTGTACCTCCTCCTCCTCCTCGTCGTTTCCCCTCTTTTTCTTTCCTGTTGCATTCGTGGTGCTCCTCACGTCCTGAATCTTAGTTTCGATGAGCTGCTCAATCTGCTCCTTGCTAAGGTACACGTCGTCGAGGTCGTTCCGGATGCCTTCCACTTCTATCTCGATCTCCTCCATTTTATCTTGCACATCCTCGGTTGCCCTCCTAGCGTCCTGTGCCTCGATCCGTGCTTGGTCAATCAGGCCCTTGACACTGCTCATCTCGTCCTTTATCATTTTGTGTTGCCGCGCTTCGTACTGTTTGAACCAATTCGGTGGCTCCTCCAGTTCGTCGTTGCCATCTCCGACCTCCACGTCAGCGATCTCCTTCATGTTGTTTGCTTTTGCCTTTTGCTTCTGAGGAGTTGACCCTGTTGCTGTTCCCGAACGCTTACCTTTAATACCCTCCATTTCTGCCAAGCTCGGCGCCACGAGCGTGGAAGAAAAAAGTGTTAGTGAAGGAGGCCAGGTAGGTGAGCCAGTATGCCGGAAACAGCTTGACCTACAACCTTGAGCCCTTCAGCCTTGAGCCAAAATGGCTTGAGCCCAGACACCCCCAGAAAACCTCAAGATGGCTCAGGGTTGCCCCAAGACGGCCCAAGAGGCCCCCAAGACGGCGTCCCAAAAATCCATAAAGCAAAATCCGTACATGTTTCTTTCGGTTTTGACATATGTTCGCATACTCGACTTCAGGCATTTGGAAACCCATGGCGGCCCAAGAGGTCTCCAAGAGGGCTCCAAGACAGCCCAGGGGGGGCTCCCGAATGGCTAAGCATGACTCTGAGACCTCCCACAATGTCCCAAGAGGGGGAACTCGTACTGACCCTGGCCGTTTTTGTTGTTCCTACGTGCTCGTTCCAAAACCCTCAGCATGCCTCCCAGAAGTTTCAGAGACCTTCAAGACGCCCCCGGGATGTTCACGAGACCCCCGAGAGGTTTCCCAGAGGTCCCCTGACCGATCTCCATGGGCTTCCCAAACAGACCAGGGAAACAAAAAGGTTCCCGAAAGGCCATCAAACGGCCCTGCCCAAAATTCCGATATGCGATTCTAGACCACCTCCGTCAGGGATAATACATGTGACGACCCTACCTGCCTGGACGCATACTGCATGCGCAAGCGCCAGATGCTGCGTCACGTGTGCTGGTGGTTTCATGGAACGATGTCGAAACAACTCGAGTCAATGCTTGCTCGATTCGCCATGCTTATCAGCTTGCTGTCAGCGGGGCGAATCACCAACTTGCTTGCCTCTAGCTTGTAGCCATATCGCTCCGAAACATCGCTTCGATTGCTTCAACTTCCTTTCTCGCATGCCAGTGTGATATTGATTAGGATGTGCAGAACAATACAACAGCAAACAATATGCACAGGGCAAGTGAAGGATAGTTACTCCCAGCGCTGTAATGCAAAGCGAACAAAAATGAGGCGGGGCAAACAGGACCGCCGGGGACGTCCCCGCGACTGTCGTGGCGTCCCGCGTCCAGGGGCAGAGCTTTGCGCAGCCCCTCTTGGCGTCAGGCCACGCCTGCCACGCCCTGCGACCCTGACATGAAGCACACCCTCGCTGGTGCGGGGAAAACGCCGTGCCAGCTTGGCCCTGCGACCCTGGCATGGGCAGAAACCGCACAAACCCTCACTGCTGCATGTGTGTATATGCACATACACATGCATATACATACACACATGTATATATGTACTAGAACCATCGCGCGCGCTTCGCGCGCGCTCAGGTTCTAGCCCAGGCCGGGGGCGCGCTAGAAGATCTTGGACAGAGCTATCAAGCACAGGCGCGTGACATAGTCGTGCCTCCTGAGGGCCTTTTGGGAACCTCTTGGGTCTTCGTGGGGCATCTGAAGGGCTTCTGGGGGGTTCTACGTGCTTCCTCAATTGGCTGTTGGAGGCACCGCTTGGGTGCTTTGGGGGGGCATCTTGGGGTCCCCTGGGGGCATCGTCAGGGTTCTCCCGGCAGTCGGAAAGTGATGTTCTGCAATCTGAAGCAGTCAATTGGCCGTCTTGGCTGCGTGGAGGCCCGGCGTGAGGCCACATTGGGGCAATCTGGAAGCCTCCCGGGACCTCCTTGAAGCAATTTTGATGCTTCGAGAGCACTGTCGGGCTATCTTGGGGCCCCGTGTACGTCTCCTGTGAGCCTTTTGGGGCCTGGTGGGGGGCTTTGGAGGGCCTCGTCGGACCACTTGCGGACTCTTGGGGCCTCCTGTGGGCCTCTTAGGGCGGAAAGCTCTGCTGTTGGGTTCGCGTTCCCCTTCTTGGGGCTCTCTTGGGGCCCTCTCGGGCCGTCTTGGGCGCCTCGGGCACCGTCTTGGGGCCCTCGTGGGCCGTCTCGGGGCCCTCTTGGAGGCCTCTTCGGCTATCTTGGAGCGGCCGTGGGGGCCACTTGGGCCGTCTTGGAGCGTCGGGTTGCCAAAAGGCTGGGAACTCTAAAATCCATCAAAAGCCGATGGGAAAACAATGCTTCTTGGAACCTCTTCGGCCTTCTGGGGAGCTTCTCGAGGACCTCTTGGGTACTGTTTGGGGGCCTCTGGGGCTTCCTGAGAGCCTCTCGGGGTGGAAGGCTCGGACTTTCGGTTCGTCTTACCCCTCTTAGGCCCCCCCTGGGGTCGTATTGGTGCCCTCTCGGGCTGTTTTGGGCCTTGTTGGAGGCCTCTTGGGCTATCTTGGATTGGTCTTGGAGGCCTTTTGGGCCGTCTTGGAGCGTCAGGACGCCAAAAGGCTGAAAACTCTAACATCAATCAACAACCTATGGCAAGACATGGATTTTTGCCTCTTGGGGCCTTCGTGGGAGGCCTCTTGGATACTCTGGCCCCCTGGGGGGCTTCTTGGGGCCTCTTGGAGCCTGTTAGGGGCTTCTCGGGGCCTCCTGAGAGCCTCTCGGGGTGGAAGACTCGGATTTTCGGTTCGTGGGAGCCCTCTTGGCTCCATCTTGGGACCGTCTTGGTGCCCTCTCGGGCCGCCTTGGGCGCCTCTGGCGCCGTCTTGGGACCCCCGTGGGCTGTCTTGTGACCGTCTTCGAGGCCTCTGGGGATGCCTACTGAAAGCCTCTCGGGCCGCCGTGGAGCGTGTCATTCGGGCGACTTACAGGGCCCACAGCGCCACGGCAGGGCCCGCCGGGGCCCCCCGGTGCGAGGGCTCCGTCCTGGGCCCCGCCTCGTGCCCGCGGCAGGGCGTCCCCAGGCCGTCTCGGCGCCCTCGTGGGGGGCCTGTTGGGGCGACATTGGGTGTCTGAGATCCATCAAAAACATTAGGACACTCAATGATTTGGGCGTCCCTTTGGGCAGTGTTGGAAGCCTTGTGGGCCGTCAGGAGGCCATCTTGGGCGTGTTCCAACGATATGTCTTCGTTTCGGGGCCTCTTGGGGGCCTCTTGCGGCCCTTTTCGTCTGTGTTGGGGCTTTCTTGGGCCGTCTGGGGGCGGCCCTGGGCTGTCTCGGCGCCATCTTGGAAGCCTGTTTGGAAGATTTCTGGGTGTCTTAGACCGTCCTCCTTCAACGTCGGCGGCACTGGCCGTAAGATTTCCTGGGAATATGATTTGTTGGGGTGTCGTTGGGCGCCTCTGGAGGCTTCGGGGCCTGACGCGTTTCCGAGCGTGGCGGCAGGTAGCGCTGCTTGGGACTCTCGTTTTCTTGATCCTGGCAGGCGTCTATAAACATGGTTTGGGGAGAGGGCGGCAACCCGAGAATCATGTTCCAGGGAAGCTTTCCGGGAGCATGCTTCGCTCGGCTCTCTCAAGAGGGGGGGCTCTGAGGGCTTACCGAGGTTACCGAGGGGCCCTTTTTGGCCTTGTCGGCAAGCCCATTGGAAACATGGTTGGGGCGGTGGGCGGAAGCCCAAGGAATCATGCTCCCGGAAAGCTCTGGGAAATACGATTTACCGAGGTCTCTTGGGGGCCCGCAGGGGGCTTCCCTGGGGGCCCTTGGGGGCTCATTAGGGCTTCCGGGGGGCCTCTTGGGAGCCGCACGGGGCTTCTTGGGAGCTTCTTGATGGCCTCCGGGGGCGTCCTAGGAGCCTCTCAGGCTGGAGACCTTGAAATGTCGCGCTCTTCGGGCCCTCTTGGGTCGCTCTTGGGGCTCTCTTGGGGCGCTCTCGAGGCCCTCTTGAATTATCTGGGGAGCCTCCTGGGCCGTCTCTGGTCTTTCCTTGGGAGCCTCTTCGGCCGTCTTGGAGCGATCTGAAGGGCCTCTGACGCCGTCCGGGACCGTGGGGAGGCGGAACATGCGAGAGCGCAAAAATGCGGGGCCCTTTGGAGGGGCCTCTAGAGGCGCTCTTGGGGCGTTTTGGCGGCGTCGTCGGCCGTCCTGAGGCCATCTTCGGCGTGTCCGGGGCCTCTTGGGGCTGCCTTGGCAATCTTTAGGGCCCTCTTGGCGTGTCGTGGCATGTTTGGGAGCGGGCCCGGGCAGTCCTGGGAGCCCTGGGGGCTGTTGAATGCTAGGTGTTGTCTTGGAGGCGGAGGCTGTTGAGTGCAGGGTGGCGCGTGCTACGCGGAAGGCGGGCGAGCGGCCGGGCGGGCGGCGGGCGGGCGGGTGGCGGGCGGGCGGGCGGGTCGGGATTTGAATGAATTCCTTCAGGGTGCTCTCTTGCAGCGGGAGCTTGTTGAGTACAGGGTGTTATCTTGAAGACGGGGGCTGTTGACTACAGGGTGTTGTCTTGGAGACTGATGCTGTTGAGTACAGAGTGGTGCGTGCTCCGCTGCCAGCGGGCGGGCGGCGGGTGCCCTAGGTGGTGGGTCAGAGGCCTCATGGGTGTTGGTTTGGATCTCGTGGTTGGCCTGTCGGGGACGTCGTGAAGGCAGTTTCGCAGCTTCTAGGTCGCCATTTTGAGACCGTTGTGGGACCTCCTCGGGGCTGTTTTGTGGCCTCTTGAGGCTTTGTTTGGGTCTCCTGGGTGCCCCTCGGGGGCCTCCTGGGACCTCTGGGGGGCTCCTTGGGGCCTCCTGGGGCACTCTTCAAGCGGGAAGGTCGAATTTTGGAGTCGTGGTCCCCCTCTTGGGCGCATCATGGGACCGTCTTGGGGCTCTCTTGCGCGCCTCTGGGCCCGTCTGGGGGCCCTCTTGGGCCATCTTGGGGCGCTCTTGGGGGCCTATGCAGCCAGCCTGGAACGTCGGACAGCCGAAAAGGCTGGAAGGCCAAAATCTCTCCAAAACCTTCGTAAAATTGACGATTTCGGCCTCTTGAAGCGCTCGGGAGAGGCGTCTTGAAGCGTCGTGGAGTGCCTTGGGGGGCCTCTGGGGCCGTCTTGGGCCTATCTTGGGCGTCCTGAAGCGGTCTTTCGGCGACTCGGGGACCGCATGGGCCATCTTGGGAGCCCCCGGAGGCCCTCCTAGACTATTTTGGACCTCCCCGGCCGCCGCGTCCTCCCATGGGGGGTCGGGGCAGCGGTTTGTGGGCCCCGGGCCTGCCCCCCAGGGACACACACACACACACACACAGACACACACACACACACACACACAGAACAGACTGACTGACTGACTGACTGACTGACAGACAGACAGACAGACAGACAGACAGACAGACAGACAGACAGACAGACACACACACAGGCACATATATATATATATATATATATATATATATATGTATATATATATGTGTATATATACACATATATATATATAGATGTACACACACACGTATGTGTAGTCGAACAATCGCGCGCGCTTCGCGCGCGTTCAGGTTCTAGCCCAGGCCGGGGGGGGGGGGGGCGCTGGAAGATCTTGGACAGAGCTAGAAACAGGCGCGTGGCATAGTCGTACTCATCCTCACCCATACTCCTTATCCGTATACGGTTCATCAGTATACTCCTACACATACTCCTCATCAGTAGACTGTTCGTTATCATATAACCCATCATGATCATACTCACGAGCAACATCATCAACAACACCATGGAGAACATCCTTGGCCCAGTGCTGCCAGCCAAAACTTTACGTCAAGCTCGCGTATCACCATGGTCGCCATCATCCTCCTCATCCTTGTCTGTCTCATCATCATCTTTCCCCGATCCTGCCCGCGTTCAGAAGCTTGTGCTTAGCGCGTCGCGGCGCCGACACCTGCGACACGCCATGACCTGCAAGCGGAGAGAGTGTCACTCCGCTTCGCT